GCTCAAGGCTAGCACTCTACCACTTGAGCCACAGCACCACTTCCGGCTTTTTTCTTTTTGCTTATATGGTGCTGAGGAATCGAACCCAGGGCCTCTGGCATGCAAGGCAAGTGCTCTACCACCGAGCCAACTTCCCAGCCCACTGCTAAAAATTTTTAACTGCACTGTTGAAAAATAGGCCAAATAAGACTTCAACTCATACATAATGCAGTGTCTGCAAAGCATAATGAAGGACAATAAAAAAAAAGCACAATAAAAATAGGCACGTCTGTACATTTCTTATTTCAGAAAACTCAAAGCATTCAAAAGACAAGCACTCTAATAATTACATAAGGAATTACCTATAAAGTAACACTTTACTTAATTAATAAGTTACTTAAATTCTTTACCATGGGCACACCAGATAAGACAGGACTAAAATCTTCAGAACATCTTTTATTTCCAGATGATAATTTTGTTGTATCTGCAACTTCACCATTAGGCAATATGCCATCTGCAAACCAGACTCTCTTCTGTTCTTTGGAACATAGACCTAGAATCAGTTGAAATTCATTTTAGCTTGGCCAGTACCAAATGGGTCAGGAAATGTTTTCAAAACTTTTGCTATCCATTGGCAAGTCCCAAATTCTCAAGACTGCCAATTCTCATGGTTTTTTGTGATTCATCTATGGTGAACAGAGTGTGTTTCCAGATATCATACAAATGAAACCTAATAGGGCAAGTGCAGCCCTTGTTACTCTGAAGTGCTCAGAGAGATTACCCATGAAAGATACTAGGAAAGCTATAAAGCTGATATTATTGAGGCTGTACTGTGAATGTGGAATGGTATCTTAAGGACTTTGCATTCCTCTATCAAAATACTGGGGACTACTGCTTCAAAGGAGGAAAAATTTACTTTGACTCATGACTTCAGAGGTTTCAGTCCAAGGCTGCTTGGCCCTGTGCCAAGGCAAGACATCATGGTGAGAAGGGTGTAGCAAAGCAAAGCTGCCCACCCTATAGCAGACAGGAAGCAGAGAAAGAAAGAGAAAAAGGAAGAGGAGGCAAGACTCTAGGGCTTACCTTCAGTGATCTACTTCATCAACAGGCCCTACTTCCTAGTTTCCACCAATTCTCTGCAATACCACTAAATTATAATCCAGTAATGGATTAACTCATTAATCCATTAATCAGGTCACAGCCCTCAAGATCTAATAACTTACCCTCTTAGCACTACACAGGAGACCAAGCCTTCAAAACAAGTCTTTGAGAGACATTTCACATCCTCTATAAATAAGTGAAGGGTAAATAAAATTCAAGGACTGAAGCAGACATGAGAAGTGGCGATCAGAAATATAATGGATAAGTAAAGAAACATGCATAAAAAGACATAAAAATAAAATGTTTTATCAAAATACGAAACAGGCTGGGCATGGTGGCTCATACATATAATCCTAACTACTCAAGAGGCTGCAATCAAGACTATTATGGGTTGAGTACAATTTGGGCAAGAAGTTTAAAGATCCACTAACCCTAGTGATGTGGGCTGCTGAGACTCTTGAGCCTGCCCATTTTGATACTCTAGTCTTCAAGCATGCGTGTAGTAACCTATTCCCTGTATTAAATCCCTCTTGTTATTTAGTATGGTTTCTATTCCCTGCCTGGACTCCGATTATAATAGATAATTCTGTTTAATAATTAATCTTTAAGATGTGGTGTTTTCTTCATTACCTTCAACATTTGGTTGTTTAAGTGCTGAAATTGGCAAAGTTGTAGGTGAAGGTATACTGGATGTTTGGGTCTCTTGAAGTGGCTGGATAGTGGCACATTCATCAGAATGATTAGATATAAGATTAGAACCAGTTGGACTCATCATCCTTTCAAATGCCTGAGCTATAAAGGGGAAAAATAGTATTAGGAGTCTTTTTTGGACTTCAAAGTAAATTATAGTAATTTCTTATTTTTCAGTTGTTAGAATAAATAAGCCAATCCAAAAAAAAGTTGGCACTTCACAAAGATTCTGTCTGGCTCCTTCTTCTAGTTGGTAGCACTCCACTTTGATAACCTACCAATGAGTTATTTCAATATTATATCTGGCATATGTTTGACATCTACTACAGAAAATAATTTTTTTAAATATGAAGGTCTTTATTTTTGCCCTTATACCTCAAGGGTTTATTTCCAACATGGTTCAAAATCTTTTTTTAAAGACATGAATCACTACCACTCCTCAGTGAAATTTAAATTGTTAAAATGGTTCAAAAGATCCCCACTTCTTCCACCTTCCTGCTTATCTGTCCAACCTTATTTCTCATTATACTCCCACTCACTTAAAACAATCCAGACACCTAGGCCTCCTGTACTTCAACAAGTTAATTCCATACTATCCTAGCTTAGGCTCTTGGCTATTTTTATTCCCTCTGCCTCTGTCCTTTTCTTAGATATATACATAGCTCTGGTCTCTCCCTTCAAGTTTCTAACTTACATGTCATATTATCTTAGAAGTCTTATGGTGACCACCTTGTATGATGTCCATCTTATGATGAACATCTTGCCATTAATCTGTCATTATCTGCTCTATTGATACTTTTTAATGACATTTCAGAATATTATCACCATCTGAATCCTGTTTATTCTCTCCCCTATATTTGTTTTTTGTGTTTTGTGTTGTTTTTTGTTGTTGTTGTTGTTGGTTGTGAGGTCTGAACTCTGGGCCTGGGCGCTGTCCCTCAGCTCTTCAGCTCAAGGCTAGCACTCTACCACATGCGCCACAGTGCCACTTCTGGCTTTTTCTGCTTATGTGGTACTGAGAATTGAAACCAGGGCCTCATGCATCCAAGGCAAGCACTCTACCACTGAGCCACTTTCTCAACCCTCTCCACTATATTTTTAAGTTCCATAAGAATAGGGCATCTAGTTTGTTTCCAATTTCAATACAAAATATTGTCTCAATATTCCTGAGTCTGCAATATAGAATAGTATCGAGTAATATAAAATAGAATAAAATTGCTGAATCATTTTCAATCAAAATATACATCAGCTCTGGTAGCTTTTCCTTCAGCATTTCTCCAAAGTGATCTGCTGTTGGCTACTGCTAAAATAATCTTTCTTAAATGCCAATGAATAACATCACTCAAAAAATGGCTTCCAACAACCAAGATATCTTCCTATTATCAAGTGAAACCCAACTGTTTACTCTTAGGGCTTTAAAGTAATTCTAACTTGCTCCAACTCTTCCTAACAGCATTCACATGCATAGTTTCCTAAAACTTATACATCGTAGCACAACTTTTCCATTATTTACTATCTTTTTCTTCTTTCCTACAGTGAACATGCCTCCCAACTCTTGAATCTTATTTTTTTTGGGGGGGTCCGGTTGTGGGGTCTGAACTCTGGGCCTGGGCTCTGTCCCTCAGCTTTTCAGCTCAAGGCTAGCACTCTACCACTTGAGCCATAGCGCCACTTCCAGCTTTTTAATTTTTGCTTGTGTGGCCGAGGAATCGAACCCAGGGCCTCATGCATGCAAGGCAAGTGCTCTACCACTGAGCCACCTTCCCAGCCCCTCTTGAATCTTATTTAATAAAAATATTCACTCTTATTATTTCCAACCCTATAGCTGATGGCAAGATAACTTTTATTAATGCTTTCTTGTAATGTACAGCTTATAGCCCTATTGATAAAACTGTGTAAGATATAAAGAATAAAACAGAACTGAACTCATTTCACAGTATATTCTCTGAAAAACCAAAGTTTGAGTCTCTATTATTGAGTCTTTTATATCTATTGAGTCTTATATCTTCTCCTTTCTTGGATTCTGTAGTCAGAATATGTCTTAATCCTTATTCAAAAATCTGACCTGTGAACTCAGAGAACACTGCTGTGTTCTTTATAGCCCTGTTAACATTTTTTATGAGTTTCAGAGCTAATTATGTGAGAGCTTGCTCTAAAATTTCTGAATTGTAGCAAATTATCTTGGCTAGCGGCACTAACAGCTGTCTTCTAGACTACTGCAACAGTGTAAGAGAAAACAAAACTATAAGGACTTTCACAAACAATAGTGGTTACTGAGAAAATATTTATACTCTATTAAAAGAATCTATAGTCTATTATCTTCCAAAGAATAGATCAACAGCAGGGAGCAGGACAGCTTACCTCAGGCTAACAGACTCACATCAGAGCTTTTTGGAGAATTGCTGAAAAAAATTAATCTTCATTCAAAAGAGAAAAATAAATTATTATCAGGTATTTATTCTCCTGGTTAATAGGAAGCAGTGTCTGAGCTAGTGTACAGGTCTGGTCAAAGTGTTCCAAATAATCTTTGCTGAGAACTTGAACTGTCAAAAATTTTTAAGAATGCAAGAAGTACTCAAAAGAACAAGTACATAGCGGGAACATACAACATAACACACTCACATAAAACCTGTAAGAACTCAAAGAAGACCACCAAAACTACTGCTAAAAATGAAAACTTGCTAGAAAGCCGGAGGACAATGGGAAGCACACATACACATAACACTCTAAAATTAAGGGAAAAAAAAGACTATAATGTACAAACAGCATGACAGTCCTAAGAATTCATAAAGTCATATTACTACTTTATATCTTATTCTCAATTTAGGTTATTCTTGAAAGGTACAAATTATTATCTTGCCTTCAGACATTTATAGATAATATTAAGCACTATTTTTAAGTATGTATTTTATAAATGTGAGATTAAGATAATGAGGATGACAATGATGATGACAAAACCAATAGGCAGATGAAATGCAGCATTTAGGGACTTGGTACCTGTTAAAAGTTAATGAACTGCTACTCCAGAAACTGAATGATTCCTTTCCAGACTGGTAGTATTAATTGTGAGAGTGGAACAAAAAGAAGAGAAACCAAGCCTTGGGATGTCCCACCTAAGCCAGATAAGTCAACACTAGGTCCTTGCCTTAAGAAAATAAAAAGTTTATCTTTGTCACAATCCAGATTAAAAAAAAAACAAATGTATTCAATTACTGGAAGCAAATATGTCAGGTAAATAAATACTCACCTTTATTAATGGTCTCATAGCAGATTACACATACTCTTGCTTCCTTTTCAAGATATTGAAGTTTACATTTTCTATTACAACAGACACCACAAAATACCTATAAGGAATAAAATACAAAATGTTTTCATTTCAAGCATATTATTTTATTTCAAGCATATATTATACATATTAAAGGCAAAGGGAAGATCCTACATTAATGAACCAAAATCCCTTTTTCAGCTTGACACAGTAGTTAACATCAGTAATTGCACCTGCTCGAGAGAAGGCATTAGGATTTCAGTTCAAAACTGGTCTGCAATGAGAACTCCATCTCAACAAAAAGCTGAGAAGGGTGGTATATGCTGTTGTCCCAGCTAGATGGGAAGTATAAATTGAAGGATCATGGTCTGACTAGCCTAGGCATAAATGTAAGATCCTATTTGAAAAATAATGAAAGCAAAAAGGGCTGAAACTCCACTATAACAGCTCAGTTGGGAGAGTTTTAGAATGAAGACCTAAAAAAGGGCTGGGAAAGAGTACAAGAATATCTGCCCAGAAAGTGCAAGGCCCTGAATTCAAACTCTTGTGTGACACAAAGCTAAGGACCATATTCTTAAATTTCACAAAACTTAAATGTTCATTACTTTCCAGCATATAATATTTACCACAACTATCAAGCAATCTGCAAAATAGTAGCGCTTTATGTATTTCCATGATAGGGATGCAAAAAAAATCTCATTGTAAATTAATACAAACATATAACCACTTATTAATCAGCATTTTTTATACTGGGTTTCCAAAGACTCAAAAGAAATGACCTGGCTGGAGATAAATGTAAGTGATAGAACACTTGCCTCTGGGTTCAATTCCAATACCATAAAACAAAAAACAAACAAAAAGACTTTTAACTTACTTTCCCACATGCTCGACAGTGGTGTCGCCGTTTTGTAAAAGTAAATTTGACTTGGCAGTTCATACAGTTGGGAGCTTCAGAATCAGGAACCCAAGTAGGTTGTTTCTGGCCCAAAACCAAGCCTTCTTTGCAAGTGTTTTCAGGTGGGGACTCCTCATTTGCAGTTACAAACCTGGATCTACCTTCAAAGTTACTTTCTATATCAATGTAATTAGAGTTGAAGCCAACATGAGAATCAATTGTAGAATCTGTTGTACAAGTGACTGGAGAAATAGTATTTGCTAGGCAGGGTTCACTTTCTGGCATATTTGGAACATCCAGCTTATTTGGTTCCTTTGTGTTGCTTGTTCTTGATGGAAGACTAAACAATTGTTTAGGTCTAGCCCCTCCAACATGAGCAGACTGACTGTTAACAGAAGCCGGTAATTCATTTATCATCTTAGACTTATTAGTAGGTAACCCTTGTTCATTTGGAATTGTACATTTTTCTCCTGCAGAAAGGCCACAATTTTCTCTTGAATTTTGTTTATCAATTGTTTCGCAAAGCATATTAATACCATCACTTTTCTCATGATCTCCTGTTTCAGCATTGAAATATATATCACTGACATTTCCATCATCTAAGCCTTTCATATCTATCTGATTCATTTGAGACTTAGAATCATTTACATTTTCTTCAAAAGATTTTATGTTAGTGGTCTGAAGATACTGTTCTGTCAGAAAAGCATCAAGTTCAGCATCACTAATTAGCATGCCACTTTTCATGCTTTCATCAATATTGAAGTAATCTAAGTCTTGCCCATCTATATTGTTGCTTGAAAAACTGAGACCTTCACAATGATCCAGAGACTCTGTGGCGCTAGCACCAGAGAGCTCTGCCTGAGATGCTGTAGCTGCAGAACTAGAATCCTCATGGTACTGCAAAGATTCAACTCTGTTTACCATCTGCTCACATTCCACTTCTTTGTTACCTCTCTTTCCATTTACTGGCTGAAGAAATATGGTTTTAGATTTTTCCTTTTTCAACAGATCAGTCTCCCCAAAGGGTCCCCCATGTAAAAGAGTAATCTTCTGTAAATCTTCATGCATAGTCACTGCATCTTCTTTATGACTTTTAGCTTCATTCTGAGGTAAAACATCATCCTGGGATTTACTATCAATTAGTGATCCACACAAAGACCCAGATAATGAAAGACAGGACAATGAAGAGTGTATACTTTCACTTGAAAGAGGTAAAGTTGAAGAATCTTGGATTGTAGTGGTGTTATGCTTAAGGTCTAAATTTTTTGAGTTTTCATTTGCAGACTGTTTTGTTACCACACCAATTCTATCTTCCTGGAAAGAAAAGTCAGGCAATTTGAAATTCTCATCTTTTGAGTCTGAATCAGTATTTGGAAGACTGCTAGGCAAAATATTCATACTATCTCCTTCTTTTAAACATTCTGTGGTGCTTCTGACTACCATATTTACCTGTTCTTTTGCCAAACAACCATCATCTTTTTGTAACCCGCATGACAGAATCTTGTGTTCTAGATTATCTTTGGCATCAAACACTGTAGAACTTTGTTGCACGAAAGCAGAGGGCATATTAAAATCAACAACTGGTTCTAATTCATTAGAGACCCTTTCACCCTTTAAATTTTCTGTTCCACTGTATTTACAGGTATCTGAAAGTGATGTGTCTATATTTATTCCTAATTCTTTGGTCCCACCAATTTCTCTGTTTTGTAATTCAGAGTTGATATCATTCTGTTCTTCTCTGACAGTATCACTAGCATGCTCTGTTGAAGAAGCACAGAGAGTATCTGAAACTGAAGATGAACCCAATCCAATCAAAGAATCTGTACTAGATTTTAAGTCATCTGGTAATAATTTTTCAATGTCTTCTTCACTATTCGTTGCATGAACTAAATTACCCATGTCACTTATCAGGTCACAGACAGGTTTACTACATCGGCTCATATATAAAGGCAGTAATTCATCTGAAGTACTACCATCCACAGAAGAAAGGAGGTCAAGTCCTGTTACATTTTTTTCACTTTGTATAGAAGTAAGTCCTTCAAGTGGTTTTTCAGTCGGGAGAGTCTCATTTTTTTCACAGCATGTTTCTGATGAGGCACACTTGTTAACACATTGCTGGTCCTTTGGTAGTAGCAAAGTTAGCTGTGAAGAAGTCAACTCTGAAGAAACTGAACAGTGGTTAGAATCATATGTATCTTGTGGACGTTGGAGATAATCTTGTTCATCTAATTAAAATAGAAACAAAGTTATTTAGAAGACCCAAATTAGGTAAAAATCATAAAGACAATGAAACCCCCTACTATTAATATATACTAATAAAAAAGTTATGATGAAGATACTGTGCATTTTAAGACTTCTAAGCTATATGGCCTTTTTATTTGGCTTTATAGTATTTTCTGGTTTTCATTTATATAATATATATATATATATATATCAAGAGTAATAATTTTTTTTTTTGGCTAGTTGTGGGGCTTGGGCGCTGTCCCTCAGCTCTTCAGCTCAAGGCTAGCACTCATACCACTTGAGCCACAGTGCCACTTCCTGCTTTTTCTGCTTATGTGGTGCTGAGGAATCGAACCCAGGGCCTCATGCATGCAGGGCAAGCACTCTGCCACTGAGCCACCTTCCCAGCCCCAGAGTAATAAAATTTTGACTTCTAAATCAGTTGTACTGCAAAACCCAAAGTAAGAGTTAAAAAACAATCTACATATTTTGTTCTGCCAGTTTCCTAATTTCATTCTGAGGGAAGTACCATTTGTCATAGTAATGAAATCTCAACTTATGTGTAGTTTTTTCATGTCACTTTTAGTTTGTTCACATACTGATTTTGTAGATTTTCCTGATAGATAAATTTGTATCTGAAAAGAAACTTCCAGTATCTTCTGTTTCTGGGTATTAATTCCATTCTGTATAAGAATGAACTAATATGTTATAATCAAACAGGTCAACTTTTTACAGAAGATGACAATGTGACCAAACTCTATTCTGTACTCTAAACTGTATTCTATTCCTGAGATTACTGAATTACAGACATTTAAAAGTTCTGTTAGTGATAAAATAGAAAGCCGACAAACCTGGGTTCTGTTCAAAATCATCAAGGAGTTTGTCCAAGTCACAGACAGCTGCTTTAAAATAACTCTCCATCCTGCCCGTAGACTTACTCAAAATTTAATTCTTTTATGTCTAGAAAAACAGAAGATATAACATTTAATTTTGCAATATGAAATAGTGTCACCTATTTCATACCAGAAGATATTATCTGAAAAGAGAAAAATAAAGCTTAATAGTACTTCTTTGATGAATTTATAATTTAAGATGGAAAACTATATATAAAAATAACACAAGGTCTGAAAGTGTGACTTAGTGGTAGCGTGCTTGCCTAGCATGAATGAAACCCTGAGTTCCATTCCTCAGTACCACATAAACAGAAAAAGCCAGAAGTGGTGCTGTGGCTCAAGTGGTAGAGTGCTAACCTTGAGCAAAGAAGCTCAGAGACAGTGCCCAGGTCCTGAGTTAAAGCCCCAGAACTGGCAAAAAATAAAATAATAATAACAATAAATACAACAAAAGAATGTGTTAATAAATTACTTCAAATGGTTGCCTAGAATGGTTAACAATCATAAGCAGTGAGGGACAAAAAGATTAACAAATAAGATAAAAAGATAACAAATAATATTTGTTGTAACAAATTAAGTTACAAGTAACAAAATGCAAAGACAACAAATAACAAGATGACAAATAATTATTGTCATGAGCTAAGAGCCTCTCTAGTCCAGAAAGAGAGAAAAATAGAGATAAAAGAGTTACTTTAAATATGGAGTACAAGAGAATTGAAGAAATTGGAATACCTATCTGAAGAAATTACCTAAAATGTAGTTCATAGAAATGAGAAAAAGAGGGGCCAGGAAGGTGGCTCAGTGGTAGAGTGCTTGCCTTGCATGCATGAGGCCCTGGGTTCGATTCCTCAGCACCACATAAGCAAAAAGAAAAAAGCTGGAA